ATTTAGACAAAGATGGCTGTAGACATTCTCTCAATAGTCAGCTGAAAGGAAGAAAGATACCTCCAGAGAGTCTCTCACCTCACCTGCAGTTTGAAAGGTTGCAGGGTTAGACAGTCTCCCCTGTGCTGGCTGCAAAGGGAACATGGATCACTAGCTTTGCCTGGTTATCCACCTTTCAGATAGTTCAGAGGAAAAATTAACCCTACCCTACCCTACTTAAGTAATAGCTAGAAGCCTAATGCTAGCAGTTATCTTTTAATAATGAACAATCAGACACGCACCACTACATGAGTGAAGACGTGTCTTTATTATGAAAGAATATATACATATATAATACATATAAAAAAGAACTAACCCTATCTTTTCAATTTTTGTAGAAGTAAGGAGGGGGGTCAGCATAATGGCTACCTTGGACATCCAAAGGGCAGACTTCGGCCTGTTTAGGAGCCTGGTTGACGGGCTTGGGAGCAATCCTGAGGGCAAAGGAGTCCAGGAAGCCTGGACATTCTTCAAGCAGGAACAAATAGGAGCAGGCCATCTCCATGTGCTGAAAGATGAGCCAGCAGGGAAGTCTGGCCAGGCCGAACAGAGACCTTTGGCTGGAAATCAGGGTAAAAAAGAGAGTGTATCACCTTTGGAAGAAGGGGCAGGCAGTTTTGGAAGACTACAGAGATGTCATGAGGTTAGGCAGGGAGAAAATTAGAAGCCCAAAGCCCAACTAGAACTTAATATGGTTATTGACATAAAAGACAATAAAAATGTTTCCATAAATTCATCAACAAAAGGAGGGTTGAGGAAAATCTCACAGAATCTCACAGAATAGGTAAGGCTGGAAGAGACCACAGTAGATCATCTGGATCAGCCTCCCTGCTCAAGCAGGGTTGTCATGGAGCACATTGCACTGGATTGCATCCAGACTGTTCCTGAATATCTTCACTGAGGGAGACTCCACAACCTCTCTGGGCAATCTGTTCCAGTGGTAGTCACCTCCACAATACAGAAGTTCTTCCTCATATTCTCCATTCTTTACTGGATGAGGTGGGAACATGGTGACAAGGGATAAAGAAAAGGCTGAGGTACTTAATGCCTCCTTTGCTTCAGTCTTCAATAGTAAAATCAGTTGTTCTCCAGGTACCCAGCCCCCCAAGCTAGAACACAGTGACCAGGAGCAGAATGAAGCCCCCATAATCCAAGGGGAATTGGATTGTAGCAACTGCTACACCAATTAGACATGCACAAGTCTATGGGGCTGGATGGGATCCACATGAGGATACTGAGGGAGCTGGAAGAGGTGCTCACCAAGCCACTTTCCATAATTTCAATTATTTATCATGATGTATTGTAGGTGCTCTGGAGCTTTGCCCTTTTCCAGTGCAGCCTGGATCAGTCCATGGCAGATGGTAGGGCTGTGTTTCCACTCCTGGGGCAGTCGATTCCAGGTGTACTGGACGCCCCTGCAAGTGAAAATTAACTGTGTCCTGCACTCTGCTGACAGGGGACTGAGAAAAATGCATTAGTTGTGACATCCCCGTTGGCTGCCTTGGACTCCGGTTTGTATTGAAGTTCCAGCATGTCCAGTATAGCAGCACTCAGTGGTGGTATGACTTCATTCAGGCCACAATAGTCTACTCTTAGTCTCCATTCTCTGTTAGACTTTCACACTGGCCATATGGGGCTATTAAAGGGTGAGTCCTGCTGATCACTCCTTGGCTCTCCAGCTGACAAATCAGCTTATGGATGGGAATCAGGGAGTCTCAGTGCAATATTGCTGCAGATACACTGCAATGGTACTGATCAGCACCTGCTGTTCTTCAGCCTTCAGCAACACCACAACAGAAGGGTCCTCTAAGAGACCTTGTAAGGTAGACAGCTGCTTCCTTACCCTCTAACTCTAGACCACTGAACCCATTATCCCAGCATCAGAGCAGCCAGGTGACAATGTGCTCATCTGGATGACAGCTTAAATCTTTTCATACATCACTCAGGGATAGGGATCAAGTGGTTACCTCTCGTTCTTCCTTTTCCTCCTGTTCTTGTGGTAACTCTGCTTTGTCCTTCTTTACTAAGTGAGCTTTCATGTTCATTTCTTCTTGTGTATAGGGGCAGCTGATACCAGCACGGGTTGGTTCTCAGGTTCAACTGCAGCGGCAGTCACAGGGGTTGGATTGGCCGCCAGGACCTAGTCAACAGCCCAATCATTTGCCTGCAGCCTTAACACCATCTTTGTATCAAGTTTAAGGTAAACATTTTAAATCACCAATATAATACATCATGGATAGAGCCAATCCCTGAGGTATCCTTCTGACATGAACAGCTTAAACACTTCTTATTGACACTTCTTATTTGGAATCCGTTGATTAGCCAGTTTCTACACGAGTACTTTGTGTGCATGCAAATCTGTTCATTTTGCAGACTTTCAGCAAAAGAATTTTATCAGACAACACAGAGAAACACAGGTACAATGCTTCTCTTTATTTTATGGATTGAATGTGTCCATCAATACGGAAGAAAAGTTTACTTCCCAAGACCAGTCACAAAACATGCATCAGTAATCAAAGAAACGCCACGGGAGAAGATCCTCTGATATAACTATTGTTCTATATTTCTTACTAAAACCCCCCAAAATTACACATTAACTCTCAAAATAGCCAGTAGCAACAAATGAGTAGTATGTCACAGAAACAAAACACCTAGGAGGAGTTGGAATACTAGACATCTGGTGATTATTCTCACTACTGAAAATCTTAACAGTTTGTTAATTACAATCACTATTTTCAGAACAACTTCTCAGTCATTGAGGTGACTCTGCCATCTAGAATGTTTGTTTACCTCTTCTCATGGACATCCATAGGTTGTAACAAAGCATCAGGAGTCAGGAACAGTCCAGATCCTCTCACTAGATGGTGTTCATTAAATACTCTGCAGAGCTTCTTCCAAATGCACTTTCTACCAAATCAGCTACACTGAATGTCTGACAACATTTGTAGTCAATGAGCAGGAATCTCTTTTTAGATCAGCCCTTCATATCAGCGACATTTAACCTCAAACACCAAATTGAGAGGATAGGCTAGTGGCTACCAAATTTTCAACCAGAAGATAAAGGTCTTTCTCTTATATCCATTGCAGTAAACACTATAGTGTGGTATAAAGATTCTATCAACACTTGAAAAATCCTTTGTGACTTACCTGTACCTTTGCGACATTCAGATTTACAGTACCATTATTCAAACTGACACAAAATCTTGTCATATAATGAGGTATTTAGAATAATGAAACAAGACTCCCCTGATGATAACTCATTACAAAAGACTAAACTGTCTCTCCTTTTGTTCATCATCCAATCTAGTTCTTGCTTTTGCAATTCACTTCTGTCATTCAAACTGGTATTACCTTTAGGTGGATACTTCAGTTGGGATACTTCTTATATTCCCTATATATTACGACTTTATAATGAATAAAATAATAAGCATGAACATTTATAAGCAAATAAAGGATGGTATGGGAACGCCACCCATATTTTATACTTTGTTGAAGAATACTAAATAGAGGTTACTTTATTTTTTCTATGAGTACTACAGCCTTTCTTTCTCTGACCTTGCTGCTGCTTCTCTTGTGCTGCTTTTTTCAGAGATCTATCCTGCCTTCTGTCTTCTATTCATTTTGGTTTTGCCAGGAATCCATACGGTTCTTGTTACAGCTACAGAAACTAAATGACTGCTCCTTACAGTATTATTCACTTACCAGAACAATACAACTTTCTTCTGCTTTGATCCCATCAAAACTACTGCTAATAAAATAATCTATGAATATGTCCCTCAAGTGAAGACAGATGTAGAGCAGATTTGTGCAACTTGTGCTGCCTCTACATTTTCACTAGATTTGGATTCTGGTTGAACACAAGAGCACCAACACAACAAAACCATCAAGCCGACCAAAAATCTGTATATGCAAGGAGGAGTAAGGCAATGCTGAAAAAATATCTCAAGCAACCTCAGATGAAAGTAAGAATTACTCTAGGCTTAGTATAGAAACACTGCATTCCATGGGATCCTCCATTACATTCTAAATTAGGTGTTTGGACTCAATTTCTCTGATGGAAAGTCTCTTTTTGTTGACTGTAGAGTGATCTTATATCACTAGATTAGACAAGATCTAGCTGAATAAAGAGGAATAAGATAAACTACAGTTAAATACCAGCGTAGGTGTCACATTATCAATACATCATATGTGGTGTTTATGGAAAGCTAATGATTAGCAACCAATCGAATTAATAAAGCATAAACACACATTTCACTGGTTTTTATAGTGTACTATCAATCTTGAAAATATTATAAGCGTAATATCGAAAATATTGTAAGCATCAGAGGACCATGTAAAGAATACAATAATTATTGTGTACAATCAGAATGTAAACCAGAGAGGCCGAACTTAGTGCGTTTGCGTTACTATAATCCAAGAACGGGACAGCTCAGAGAAGGAGCTGCTTTTAGCATCCTTAGGCACACTGCAGACACGGGATCGGCTTATGAAGGATCCCTCGAAGGAAAAGGTAGAGACGTCACCTTAAGGAGCTGGTCAGGGCACACAACCCCGCTGTTCTGTTACAGCTAATGAAGCTTCAAAATATAACCTGCCATCGCTAAAAGAGGAACGCTTTCTCAGACACACAGTTCAATAAGGTCCCGCTAACTCCTTTCCGTGCCCTGCGCTTTGCACCCAAAACCTCTCCGTCCCTAACGCGCCTGCGCACGAACCTCTCCCGCTCGGACCCCACAAGGCGCCGGGGCGGGCGGGGGCGCGCGGCCGCTCTCCTCCAATGGCGGGGCGTGTTTCCCTCCTGTGGCCAATCAGCGCTCGCTTCCCCCCGCTCTGACCAATGGGAAGAGCGCTCTAGGGGCGGTGGTCACATTCGAACGGAGAGCGGCGCGCGCAACCCTCGGCCGCGGGGAGGGAGGGCCGGGCTGGGCCGAGCAGAGCAGAGCAGAGCAGAGCAGGGTACAGCAGAGCACAGCACAGTACAGCACAGCAGAGCAAGGTATGACCGGCCGGGCCGGGCAGTGGGGGGGTAAGAGCAGACAAGCCGGCGGAGAGGTATAAGAGCCGGGCCGGGCCGGGCGGGGGAGCGCAGCAGGGCGGTGAGGGCGGCCGGGCCGCGGGACAGCGGCGGTGCTGATATATCGGTGGGGCTGCAGAGGCACTGGGCAGGGCCGGGCTCCGCGGCACCCCCTGGGGCTGCGGCCCTGCGGGCAAGGAAATCTGGTGTGTCTGTTCCCTTCCCGCACCGCTTCTGCCCGCGGCCTTTGTTTATGCCGCGGGGCATCACCTGCCGCGCTGCTGCTAAGCCTCTCCCTGTCCAGCCCTGTTTTGCATATTCGAGTTTTATGTTTTCTGTGTCCGACGTTAGAATTTAATGCTTTCCTATTTCTTTTCATAGGTAGTGTTACTAATTTTTTTTAAATCGATGGTGTTTTCTCTTAGCATTGGGTGGTTTTGTTTTCCTTTTAAGAAAATCCTGATTTAGGACTTGCAAACAAAATCAAAGATAGACTATATACTTGTGTAGGTTTTTTTTTTAAAGCCTGAGTAGATGCTTCAGAAACACCACGATTCTGTGTATTTTGGGAAATAGTTGCTGGATAAAGGAGAGGCTTCTCTTAGTGGTTGCAGTAGAAGCGAGTTATCAACTCTATCTAGGTAGGGAGCTAATTTTTAATCTTGTAGAATCCAGTCTTGGGATCAGGATGGTATGTGGGATCAGGGTATATATGTGGCATGAGGGAAGCTGAAGTTGGAGAGGATTTGGAGGGCTTTGCTACTCATTTGAAGTCATGTTTTGATGACTGCTTATGGAAGAATTTAGCTTGTCTCTTTCTTATAACCATTTTTTAACATCTGTCTGAATCAAGGAAAAGTTGAAGGATTTCTTTCATATGCTTACCATTGCAATTTGCTCTTTAGAATTTAGCCTAAAAGCTTGTATGGTTTAACAAGGTCTTCTACTTTCGTGACTCCCATGGATTTTTTAAAGACATTCAGCAGTGTAAAGACTGCTCCTTCATATCATTAATAAATACTAGCTTCTGAGGTAATATCCACAGAACACTATTTGATAATTGGATGGATGCTGTGTGTTTCTGAAGATGGTTGTATGTTGTTCTAGCATGTTCCCATTCTTGCTTTGAACCAAGGTGACAAGATCCTGGAGGCAGGAACTTCTAAACACTGAAATGTCCATATAATAGACCCTGATGTTCAGGAAGGGTCCTTGGTAATACTGTAGTGCATTTATGTGATGTTGATGTAACTGCACTTGGAGATAGTTCTGCTTCCTGTAACAGACAGGATTTCCTGTACTACATGCAAGAATATGTACCTTTGCTTAAGTGGTGGGCACTAGTAAATGATTACTGGAATATGCAAACAGAATAATGGAAGTGCTGTAGAAAAAGGTGGCCACAGTGAGTTTTCTCTTGTTTGTTTGTGATAGGAAGGGAAGGATAGTGGGGGGGGTGGGTGTGGGAGAGGGTGTCAGAAAACATATGCATGGCTAAAGTTCCTGATTTTGAGGAATAGGTGTCATTTCACCTCTTGTACATAGAGGACTTACTTGAAGTTCATCATGTAGTATCTTGACAATAGTAGATGTTTCAATCAGGCCATATGAACAAAGCTAAACAAATACTTAAGGTAACGGTGTAGCTACAATGGTGTGAACATATAAAGAAAATATAAGTAATAGGATAACGTTAATTTCCTTTACTAGGCTGATCAGTTCAGTTGGAGGATAAAAGCCAGGTAAACTCTTGGGCACTTGGTTAAAATTCTTACTGCCCTCTATACTTCCTTGGGTAGACAAATGCAAAATATCAGTAGATTCCAGGGGTAAGAACAGTGTACCTTTTTGTTCAATAACTAAAAAGTGTTTTTGTACTTTCTTAAAATTTGCATTTGGTGAGAAACTGCATCTGGCTTCATTTGGAAACTGAGCAAATAGTGAAACTGTTTCAAGACTGGATGCTATTACTTCTTTTTTTTAATCAATAAATATTTTTGAGTGTGTTACACATGAAATCTTATGACTAACCTGTACTGCCCCTTCATCCATTTGCAATGTATATGGCTTTTTAGTATGTCCTTTGGCTCCTTGTTTAGTGGGTCTGTGTGAAGGGTTGAAACTACTACACTGTATTTAGAGGTAGTTCTGTATCTTCCTGATCTTTACATACTTATTCTCCATTTCTTGGTTCCTTGTCCCTAACTTTGTCTCTGGATCTTGGGTGTGCTGCAGTGTAGTTGTTGCAGTTGGAAGCTCAGTTCCTGTTGAGTGTGTGTGTAACAGCCTGTGGCTGTTTTAGATCTTTGCTGTCTTTCAGATTTTGAACACACAGCCCAGTGAAATGGATGGCAAATGCTTTCTTTAAAGGTAATCATGCAGCAGATTAAGAAAAAAAGGAAACTTTGAATACTTGCTTGTGGTTGAACTTTGGCATGAGTAGAAAGACTACTGGCAAATCATGACAATACACAGGCAAATATGCCATTAGTGTATTTTTTTAATCTCCAAACATCATAACAAGCTGATACATTTAGAAGTGCTTGCCCTCATCCACAAAGTAATCTTCAAGCTTTTTTGTTCTGTTTTTATTGCTATATAGGAATATTTTTACTGATTTAATGAAAACTGTGTTTCTGGGATGTCATAAGCATGAGGCAAGATTACAGGGTTTACTGATTCATTTACTTTTCAATGTCTAACCATTCAATTTCTGATACACAGGCACTTCTTCAGGATTGGAGAGCTGCCTTTCTTGGGGCTCATGGGATCATCTGAGGTAGTCTAACCCTCATCCACCTTACCTTTTTGACAAGTGTAGTAGTTTGTTTGGATACATGTCTGGAATAAAGACAAGTGCCAGAAATACTCAAGCACACAAAATATCTTTTATTACAGTGAAAATAATAATAATGGTAATAAACTTAGCAAGAGGAATTAAAAACTAAAAAAGGATACAAAATAACTGCCTTATCGGGTGGCATTAAAACAAATACTACAAACAGCATTTAATACAGTATTAACTAGTGAAAAGGGATACCAAAAAAGGATCTTAACACAATATTATGGATAACACGATACTGGTTAGTAAAAAGGGAAGCTAAAGGAAAGATACTATAAACATAAAAGGGGAATTAAAGGAACACTAGAAGGATATTAAAAAGTTTGTTCTCTCAGTTGCTTCCTATCAAACTGTGCTTACCCACACAGACAGGCCAGGGCTGTCAGGATCTGCAGCAGCTGGTCGGTGCCCGTGCTTAGCGGGCGTCCCCGCGGAGCAACACAGTCTCGGTGGTAGGATGAATATCGCTCAACTCAGCAGTCCCGACACCCCATTTTTATCAGTTCCACACTACACTACGTAGGGCCAGTACGTAGTATAAGGTGATGCCTGAATGGCAGCCAAACACCACCTAATCATTACCTCATGGCAACAGTCTGCGCATGCCCTACTTGTAGGGCAAGGGGCGAGCGACACCTGCCCACATAATCTTCCTCCCATCATCATCTTTCTCACCGCTATTTATGACCTCTACCATTGTGTTTCAAGGGTAGATATATCTATCTTGCAGTATGTAGCAAACCCAAGGAAGAACTCAGCTCTGATAATAGGGGATATCAAGCTGACTTGCTAAAAAGCACAATGGACCTTACAATTAGCTTGTGCCATGAAGTTACATTGTACCATACCCTAGCTGGTTTCACATCCTAATATGATTCCGTTCTCACGCCTCTATGCTCCATTGATCATCTAATTCAAAAGTACCCCCCTTACATACCACCGCGTGATCAGTGGTAGCAAGAGGCTGATAACGAACTACTCGAGATTGTAATGCATTTAGCTTGGTGTTTATCATTCGACGTACACATGTTAGTATACAGGGAATCATACACAATATGCATGTTATTATACATCCAACTATTGACAAACCTGTTAACGCTTTTCATAACCAGGGCCATCCCCATTTCCAGTCACCAAAGAGGTTTCATTCATCATGAACATGTAATTGTTGAGTAAGGGCTTTTAATTTCTGGATGCTAGCATGAACAGATTCAGAATGATCACTTAAATTCATGCAGCACATGCCCTCAAAATCTTGACAGCCATGTCCCTGGGCTAACAATAAAAAATCAATAGCAGCTCTATTTTGTAAACTTGCATGTCTAACAGAGTCTACATCTGTGAGCAATGCACTCAAAGCAGCAGAAGTAGCATTAGCTTCTTTAGCCAGCCAGCATCCTAATTTATTTAAAGAAGCCAAAGCACGAGCAGTCTCTATCTGAGATATTATACTAGCAGTTATTCTTTCAACCTTATTCCAAAACTCTACATCAGAGTTACAGTCCGGAGTAAATCGCCGTGTGCTACGTCTGTGTCTTCTTAGTTTAGGCAAGGTTACACTGCGAGGATGAAAAAAGGTTAATTGTCCAAAGGTACAAGGGCCTCCTACAGCCTTTCCCGGAATACCTTTCCATGCTCTTTGTCCACAAATGAGAAACAGATCATTTGGGAGACCTATCGCATCAGATCCAGAAATAAATCGTTTTTGCAGTCTTATTGCACCAAGCTGATGCGTTCTGGTATAAAAATGTCAACTCCTCCTTCATTAACCTTGGTACCTGACGTATAGTTTAGGTAAAAGCATGGAGTTGCAGTTAACGTCCCTAAGATGTCCAGCTTTTGTGGTTGAATGGGTAAAGCAGGAAAATTATGCATGTATGCTAAAGACTTAATATACCAAATAGCGTCCTTTCCGCTTTTAACTCGCTACGATGCCTGGCACCACCAAAGAGGTTGTTGAGTTCCTGGATGTGTGCAGTTTGCTAACACGATCTCATTACACAGAGTTCCCCACCAGTAGTTATCAATGGGTACTCTAATCAGACAGGTGCGAAAAGGACTCGTGGGAGTTACCATGGTCACACATATCACGTCCATCTTCGTCACGTTGGCCAGGGTGGTCCACACATTGACATCTAAAACAGAAGTCAGCAAAGAAGCAAAGTATAGCTGTATCTTTCTGGAAGGTACAGTTGGGTCTGGAAAAGGCCCTGCTGCTCTGCACCCTCAGGGGAGAAACCAGCTCCTGGGGGCTGTTGGATTCCATCCCACCACGTGGTCCATGGTTGGACCGTGACACTGGTGAATGACTGGAACAGCGTATTGATGAAGTGTCATTTCTAAAAATGTAAACAACATAACAACTGAGTAACAGTGAAAATACAGACAATAATATAATCGTGTCCATCCCCAGTGAGGAGATCTAAGTGGATTACAGTGGTCATTTACTTGGAGTCAACAGTACTTGAGATAATCTTTTCCTGGTTGGCAGACTTAGTTTCTAAGTTTGGACAGGTGAACAGGTGTGTCTAATCGTATGGGCCCGGACAACACAATGAATCTCAGGAATTTCTGCAAAATATAAAGTCTAGTACAACCGAACTTTTCATTTCAGAATTTTATAGTCTGGATTCATCTTTTATAGTATGAAGTGGTTGACTGCCAGTCACACATTTATAGGCCTGTTAGGAGCCATCACAGGCAATGTATATCTGGAGTTTGATGCAACACCAGACAACATCCTGGTCTCACCAACCACTCCCACAGAAAGCTTACACTCTCTGTACAGATTCCAGGCCTCATCGGGGGCAAACCGCCCTGCCCCAGTTTACCCCTGACTGCAGTCAATCCCCCTTCACCTCATGGAGTGATAGTACAGGTTATCTCTTGCCTCCATGCTATAAAAGAATTTTATCTATCTTCACATTAACTATACCATTGAGTGTGAAATCATTTCTGCACTTAACTAGAATATTACCAATTCATCATAAGAAAATTGTAAACATGATGCAAGCCAGAGCCCATAGGGAGGTCCACAAACATCAGTCCTTCATTTGCAGTCTTGCCAACCAACTTTTCAACATAAGCTTTTCTTCTGCGAGGCCCAGCACCTCACACATGGTTATTTCACAGTCACATATATTCTTGTATAGACTTGTAAGCCAAAAGGTTTCTGTCATTTGTTGATTCCAAATAATTCTTGCCACCTGCTGTAATACTACTGGGACAAAACACATACAAATATGAGCGCTGCAAAACAATCAGTGTCTGATTTAGAATTCCCAAACCACACCGTTCTGCCTGATCTTCACAAACATCACTGGTGTGACATGAATAGCACAGAAACGGATCATTCTATACAGTGATGACCATTAGGCTTCAGGATGTTACAAGTTTTATAGTTTTCTGTTGTCTTCTTTCCCCCCTTAGTGGCATGTCTGCCCCATCCCAGGAGACAAAACCAAGCACAATTCCAGTCCTTCTGCACACAGCATCACATATGTCCTTCACTTCTTGAAGCCAGGGCTTAGCTTTAACCTTTACCTTTAACACTGCTGCCAGAACAACTTGGCAGCACACAGTTCAGGAATAATATTCCAATTCTGATTGTTGCTTACCAGTAATACAAAACAAAGCATACAGATTGTTGGTGCAACTCATCTAAGAAATATAAACCTTCTTATCTCTGGAATAGTAGATCCAGGGATCCGTTGGGACACGAGACCTGCTATGCAGAAAAGAATAACCAATCCATCTTGTTGTTCAAGATACATGACCTGCACTGAGTAGGCTAATGCAGGAGTAATCATGGTTGTGGTAGCTATATCCTCCCAGCCTCTGGCCAGGACATTGTTCATTACATGAATCACAACATCAGGTGTGGACAAGACACACAAGAGACAGGTACACGATAACTCATTACACCAGTTAGCAAAAGTTAGTAGACACAATTAATTATATTTAGGATATGTTTTTCTTCCATGTGATATTCGGGCTGGTCTTGTGCTGCTCAGCATTCACTGATCTCTGTCCAGAATTCTTGCCGCTCATGATAAGGTTTCATCAAACATGCTGTAAGCCAGCAGGGTCCTGTGGGAGACAAAACACAAACAACTCCCCCCTTCCAAATACTAACAACTTAATGTTTACTTGAGGTGTCATATTAGCTCTCCTCATTACAACAGTATAATTTTATCAAGTTTTATCCCTTACAACAAGGCATATCCATTCTTCAGGAAAGATTTTCTCCATAGTAGTACACATTGAACCTTGAGCAGTTAAGCAGCACACTGGAAATGTAAGTTTGATGCATACTGTTGCGACTTTAAATCAAATTTATGCAGAAATTTATTTTTGTCTACTGTATTTGGCAAACTATCACTGCAAGAATAATGAACCTTTGACATTGGTGAGGAAAATATAGTCTGTTTAAAAAAAACAAAATCCATCCAACTGTAAGCAATTACAGTTGTAATGAGAGGTTGAGGTATTACTGAACATGAAGTAACTCTCTTTTGGTTATCTTGGTGCTTCAGGTTATGGAGAATCTGACTTCACCTATACTTGGAGGGAATGGGTAGTGTTCAAGGACAGATCTCTAAGGACATTCTCACCCACAAAGAGGAGATTGGAGTATCTGATTCCCCGTAGTCCTTTCTACTGTATTTTCGAAAGGCAAAACTGCAGTGTGTACCAAAATTTTCCTTATGAAATGAATAATTGTCATCTTTAGAATGGCATGTGGACAGTCTTTGCTGTAGTAATCATGTACATAATTTTTAGCAACATGATCTCCAGAAGATGGGGCAGTTTACAGACCCACTCTCAGAACAGCCTAAGTTGACTCTTAGGGAGAAACAGATATTAAAGGAAGTTCCAAACAAGTATTGAAAATTACATTGAATAATGAATAATTAATAATTTATGTTTTTGAAGATAAATGAGGAGGGTTCTTTTTTTTTGTCTCAGCTCAGGGAAATAAAAATTTTATTTCAGATACTACTCATTTAGCATATAGTCTCTAGCTTTCATAATTATTTTTTTCTGTCCAGGTCTTGCTTGCAGCTATATTTGGGGGGATGCTTGCTTCTGCTTTAGTTAGACCACTGAAAATATTTCATTTTGTGAAGGAAGGGACCATTTTCAGAACTTAGTGCATTTTTTACTTTTCTGCAAAAATATTCAAGTTAGGTCTTAAATGTCTCTCCAGACTCTTAAGGTGCTAAGACATCTTCATAGATGGTACTTTTGCCAGATTAAGTCTTGGAGTTTACACAAAGAAACTGTACTTTGAACCTGCAAAACTTCTATATAGACAAGAGCAGGCTTAATATTCTTGGTGTGCCATTTCTAGTACAGGATGAACATGAAATATGGCTACTATTGCTAGATAAGCAAGCTCTATAAGTACAATAATCTTTCTGATTTATGGTCTCTGCTTGTGGAAAGCTGAGTGGTGCTCTTAAAATAATGCCATCTTGTAGTGACTAATGCTCTAAAAATTAATTGTCAGAATTCTTGAGAGTGGTGCCTGGTTTATTTTTTAAATAGTGGGGTCAGAGGTGAATGAACTTAATTTGTCCCAGTCAATTCTTTCTCTATCAATAATTCGTCTAAAAGTAGATCTAACGTTTCTGAGCCTTCCGGCAACTTTTCATTGACCTTTTATACCTGAGTACCAAAGGAACAATGACCAACAATTCACTGTAAAACTAAACTTACTCTTTCTTTGAACCTATTTAATCTGTCCAAAGTGCATTACCTTCTTGTTTCTGGGCCAAGCTGCAAATTATACAGGAGAGGCTTTCCCATGGTAATTCCAGTGAAGGTGAGCTACAGTAGGGTTCTTTAGTAACTTCCCTTTTTTTTAACCTTGTGTCTGCAGATGGAGGAGGCGGACCTAAGTGAAAGAGGATTGCCGCAAATTGCATCAATCATGAATAGAGTTAGAAACTTGAAAAACAAATACAGAAATGAAGACAATATCACAGATGAGCTTAACTGTACTAAAATCTCAGCTGATACAACAGGTATTTGGTTTTGTTATTCTTTTGTCATTCTGGCAACAGATCTTAACTTAGACTGAGTGAAAAGATTTAGCATTCACTATTAAGGACCACAGAGTAAATTTTGTTCCTCTTTGTTTCTTAACTGTGTTGCTCAAATCTTGTTTAAAAAATAAAATCAGTAATTGTCTTGTGGGATAGCTTATAAGAAGTATTTTCTTCCATTCATATATGCCTTTTTAATCAATCACTTTTTGTTTTTATGTCAGATAACTCTGGAACTGTTAATCAAATAATGATGACAGCAAATAATCCCGAAGATTGGCTATGTTTTTTGCTTAGACTAGAGAAAAAGGGTGTTCGTCAGATGGATGTTAGCCTACTGAATAGACTCATTGGTCGTTACAGTCAAGCGGTGACTGCATTGCCTGCAGAAAAGTACAGTGAAGATGAGAGCTATGCTCGCATCCTCGTGAGATTTGCTGAGTTGAAAGCGTAAGTATAAATTTTCAATATAAGAACTCATCGTTCTGTGCTTGAACTATGACAAAAATACCTTGTTTTGTAAGTGGTTTCTGCAACAAATTATCATCGAGTGTGTATGTCTTCTTATTGGCTGTTTGAAACTGAGCAGCTTTGGTGAGTCAGCTTATCAGTTGTCTCCACAGTGCTTGCATTTTTTGTATATGCTAATAAGCATATACAAAGATTGTTTGGAGCTGTTTGATTTAGAGGTGTTAACACTTTCTTTTTTCTTGGTTCTATATGTAAGGTACATGGGAAAAAGCAGGAGACTATGTTTTTTCAGTTTTATACTACTATGCTTTCTCCCTTGCTAGTACTCAGCACAGTTAAATTAAATTAGCTAGGTTAGGATAGGAAGAATGTCTCAGAACACTGTTCTGTACTTCCATACTTGGAAAATTAATTTTGATTGTAGTCATTTATTGCTTTATTCAGTCCAGACTTGAACAGTGTGGTTGTTCAGATGTGTTCAGACGTAATTTAGGGCAGGGTTATAATGTGATTTTTTTCCATAAGGGGTTCTTCTGAATTATCTTGAAATATCATCACAGCAAATGTTTTGATGAAGAACTGCAGTTGAATATTGCAGCAATATAACAATTATTGCTGAGCAGGTAGTCTTCCAGTGAACATGGCTAGTCTTTTTCTTGTACGTCCTTCCTCTATTTGACTCTTTGGCATGTGGCTTTGTCTTCCTTTATAATTGTCTACTCTTTGTACTGTCATTTACGTGGGTCTTGCTGCATCTGTTTACTAAAAGCGTACAGTGGAAGTAATCTGTTGAATCCCCTGTTGAGAAGCAAACAGAACTGAATAGTGGCCTTCTTGTGAAACCTTAGTATCTTGAAGAAGTAAGGTGTTTATGTGTAATTGGAATAAAGAATCTCTTCCAGAAAGACTCCAAAGATACTGAGAGATAGCATTCTAGTTTAAAGGTTAGTTGCTTTTCCTCAGAACAGAAACTGTGTAACACAGGCTTCTGGATCATACTTTGTGGAATTTCTTTTCCAGAACAGAAATTGGAAGCTCTTATCCAGTCACATCTTTTGTCTCGTTATAGGAGAGTTTAAGTTCAGAAAGATTATTTCCCTAGTCACTTGGATCTATTTCCACTTGATCCTTAGAACATGACTTGAAAAGCAAATACTTCTAAGGTGTATGTAAGAGTTCAGTATTCTGTGTGTTGTATTGCAGAAAGTAAAACTGAAGATGCTGTCAGTTAATATGTCCAGTTAATATGTATGTTAATGTGTCAGTTTGTCTAGTACTATGTATTTTGTCTCCGCTTGGTTTTAGCTCCTATCAAAGAAAATCCTGTCATCTCATGACTTCCTAGAGTGCTTCTGGTTTATTTTTTTAGCTATTGCAAGTAAAGCAACACTGATAGGTGCTCTGATGATGCTGCCTTTGGTGGGAGAAGAAATACACTTTTCAATAGAGTTCTGCTTGCTGTTCTCCCACATGTTCCATCTAAACAAGGTGGAAAAGAAAGTCAGCATCACAAACTTCAGCACCAGTGGCAGTAGTTTGAGATTTTGGTGTCTATTGCCATCAACATTTTCTTCTGATCATAGAATCATAGAATGTTAAGGGTTGGAAGGGATGTTACAGATCACTTAGTTCCAACCCCTTCTGTCATGGACAGGGACGCCTCCCACTAGACCATGTTGCTCAAGGCGTCAGTCGACCTGGCTTTGAACACTTCCAGGGTTGGGGCATCCACAACCTCCTTGGGCAACCTGTTCCGGTATCTTACCCACCCTCATAGTACAGAATTTCTTCCCAATATGTAGCCTAAATTTCCCCTCTTTGAGTTTGTACCCATTATTCCTTGTGCTATCACTACAGTTCCTGGTGAAGTGCCCCTCTTCGACTGCTCTGTAGCCCCCCTTCAGACACTGAAAGGTTGCTGTGAGGTCTCCATGCAACCTTCTCTTCTCCAGGCTGAACAGCCCCGATGTTCTCAGCCTCTCTTGAGAGGAGAGGTGCTCCAGCTGTCTAATTGTCTTTCTGGCCCTTGTCTAGACTCTTGCCAACAGATCCATATCCTTCTTATGCTGGGGGTCCCAGAGCTGAACACAGTGTTTAAGGTGGGGTCTCACAAGAGTGAATTAGATGGGGAGAATCACCTCTTTTGACCTGCTGGCCACACTGCTTTTGATGTAGCCCAGGATACATTTGGCTTTCTAGGCTGTGAGTGAACACTGCCAGCTCATGCTGAGTTTTTCATCAACCACCACCCCCAAGTCTTTCTCGACACAATGAGTAGGTGTGAAATTGGATTATTCCATTCTTGGCACTGGACCTTTATTGTCCTGGTATCTTCTCTAGCTGCAGTCTGCTTTGCCGGTACCTTTTGACCAATTATGATAGCAAGGTTATCTGAAGAACCTTTGAATGTACTCTGAAATAGTCAAAGGCAAACAGTGCATCTGTATTGTACATTAATCATGCCAGACCTGCTCTCACATAATGCTTCTGACTATAGCACAGTGCCACCAAGTGTGTGGCACTTGATGCCTATTGCTAGTGCATTGGGTCTTGTTGTTTGTATTGCTGTCCAAGCTGTTGCTGCTTTCTGTTGGAACTTAAATTTTAACATACTCTTGGAAAGTGAGGGTAATTCATGTTACAGCCTTATTTCTTTTGCTCAGACTGCCTGCAGATGGGTTATTCCATGCCTATCTTATTGCTTTGGGTGATCAGAGATGAGTTCACTAAACCTACTGGAGTCTGGTAACATGCCTAAACTATGATAGATTATCTCATTCTTAATTCCACAGAATTCTGCTGAAAATATGTTCTCTTTAGTTTTCCATGTTGTATTTTTCTGTACTTTTGTTTTGAACCATTATCATAAATCTTTTCATCTTCCCACTTTTAAGTGGTACCTTTGCTTACCTGTTGAGGCAGGTGGAATTTTGAAAAGAATTCCTTTATCTCTTGATTATGGATGTTGCTAGTAAAAGTGTTATGCTCCTTTTTTTAATAATAGTAAAAAGAGAGAGTGAGTTCGTTGCAACATAAGGTTAATTTGTTATTTCATACTGATGTAGATTTAGGCCTTTTGTATCTTGATTAGTATTAACGTAGGCTGTAGTTCCTCTAGAATATTTAAATGTTGGTGTACTGTGTGCGAGCACTATCCTACTTAGCAATCTATGGCTGAATGTAAAACTAGGATTAAAATTTGGTGAAAGTAAACAAACTATGCAGTGTGAAATATCTTATCTGGACTTTGTGGCTTAGTCTCTACGTTTTGAAGTATACCATGCTTGCCACTGCTTCTTCTGGCATGTCTGCAGAAAATAGACTTAATCCACATTGTGCTACCGAATTTCACTGATGAGACTGTGTTGTCTAGGAGTAGGGGGAAAACAGTGAGTTACCTACATCTGGTAAGGAGTTGGTGTTCCCACAGAACCCTTAATAGAGGTGGTTATTGGATAAATGCTCTCATTGTGTCCTGGTTTTCTGGTCCTGTGGTATTTTAGATGTACCTGCAGAAATAACTTCTTTCAATGACCTACATCTCTGCTAAGGGAATCTGACTGTTTGGGTACAGTTGCAGAGGCTCTTCATTGTAGAACAGCTCATAACCTCTAGCAGAAGTTTGGAGTTCAATATTGCTTTTATGTAAGGAATTGCTGCAGGCTATAACTAGTAGTGTATATAATGTTTCTTCTGACTTGATTAATATGATACATTTTTGCATTCTTGGTGTTCCTAAAGCAATCTCCTTGTCCTCTGCCTTGCAACCTCCTTGTATAGGAGTAGTTGTGTCTACAAGAATGGTGATGTTTCTCTGGAAGGGCTACTGGTGGGTGTTCTGTACTGGTTAGTGGGCGCTCCGAGGGAAAATATCGGCATATTTTGAGGCATAATGTAAGCAGTGACAAGGAATGAGTCCTTCAGCTTTCTCTTCTGGGTTTGAGCATTTTCTGGATTTTTGGGAAGGTTCAGCTTTACGTATTTCATTTATTAGCTTTCTAAGGTATGTTGCGTATTTGTAGTACACTGATTGCTCTAAGGGAGAGGAAAATCTTTAGCTATAGATGGATTGTTTTTCCAGAGTTATCTAAAGCCATTATTCAACACATGAAACTTGTTTCTCAAGCTCTTCACCTTTTATAACTATTAATATGCTGCCTTTACAGTCTTCAGGATCCAGAGGAGGCACGGGACCAATTTCATCTGGCCAGACTGAACTGCAAGAAATTTGCTTTTGTGCACGTGGCTTTTGCACAGTTTGAGCTATCACAAGGTGTGTAAAAAAACTTGTTTGGTGTTGCTGTTCTGTGTTGTTCTAGGTTTTGTTGTCATCAGCTTCTTCTCTGTTACATTATTTGCAAGGAAACTGGTAAGTATTAAATCAGAAAGAAAAAAAAGCTGGATTTTCTTTTTTTGAATGAAATTTATTGAGAATGTGAGTTCATTTTTGAATGAAAATATGCACAGCAGTGTTCATGATAGTTTTTTTTCCTTTTTAGAAATAACTTTCAAACAAGATGAAAACTGTCAGTATTTTCTATTTTTTTAGCTTAGATCTTGCAGTGGAAGGTTTTTGAACAAGGCTCTTGCTGCATTGAAGAGCAATGCTCAAATTTGGGTGGTGATTTCCCTTAGATACTTTGTTTGCTTGTGGAACAAATTCTGTCTTCTTCCAAACAGCAACTGTAGATTCTTGATATGTTTTTTTTTAAACCAGAATACACTATCAATGTGCAATTTGGTTGCCTGGTACTTGGTAGCAAGGCTGTGTTGCCTGCCCGTAGGGTATTTTTGGGTTTCTTTTCCTTCCATGGGTGATTTGAACAGTGATCTCTGTCACCCTTTTTATTTCTTCCTTTAACATCTTTATCTATACAGAAAGACAAGCACATCCCATTAAAGCTGTTTTCTTATTTGAAAAGAAAAGGCTTGGTGGATATATCTTAATTTTTTTTTTTGTGATTTGTTTTTCTTCGTTTTGGTGGGTTTTTTTTGTTTTGTTTGTTTGTTTGTTTGTTTGTGCTTTTTTTGTTTGTTTTTTTTTTTTGTATCATGCAAGCTGTTGTATACTGCCTAGTATGAGAACTTCTCCCCAAACTTAGCTACAATAAATAATTAAATGAAATTAATCTGCCTATTCTACACCCTGGATTCTGAATACATTTTACATTTTTATTTCTCTTCATTTACTTCTGTTTATTTTCCACTGGTAGTGGTTTTCTCTATAAATTTTTCACTCCAGTACTACTTTTTAACTGTATTTTAGGATACAGTTTAGATGTTCAAAGGTGTCCCATGACACAGAGCCATTTTGTTAAAATCAATAATAGATACTCATTTATCCTCTCACATCTTCCAGTTTTTCTTAACTGATAAGTTTATTTGTAATGGAGCAGGACAGTCTGTGGAAACCCTCCTCAAATACATGCTATGTAAAATAATTGATGGAGGAAGTTTACTGAATATGACTCTACAGGATGGGGAGAAGACAAAAATTTGCATATTGTGACTTGAAATTACAGTCTCTCTGTTTCACATAAATCAGTTATCTGACCAGTCTTGTTCTAATATAATCTTGTGGTATTGAACTTCTAAACAGTATTAAATAAGCTAATTGTTGCTTAGTGTAGCTAATAATTTGCTTAGTGAGCACTGTATGTTTATTTAAACAGATAATAAGACACTAATACTGCAATAATAAAGATATTGTTAAATAAGTGTAATAAAACCTATTGTGTAATTTAAGTATAGAAGTATTGCTACAGGTTACCAGTGACTAAATTCATCCTGTAGCTGTGGGATGTTTTCATGCAATAGTTTATCTTACTTTGACAGCAAGTAGTTAACGTAAAATGAAGTCCTAATCCCAAAGGAAATAAGCCAGTTATGATTGGCTTTGTGTCTCCGGTGTGCTCTCTGATTTGTATCTGTTACCCTTGAGCTGATCTAGGTGTCACTTGGAAATGTGTATGAAGCTGTAGTGTCCCTGCTGTGTGCTTCAAAGAGGATTAACGGAACATGTGATTTGTACAGTGTTACTTAAGAGTGCGGGTCCTTTTTCACTGAGTGTGTCCAGCTTAGGCCAGAGGGAAAGGAGGAAAGTACTGCTTTGTTGCCTCCTCATCCCGGTCATTTCAGCAGTGTTTTGGCACACCTGTCAGTATTTCCCTTTGCATTAAGAATGCAAAGTTAATTGTACATTCACTTCCTTGGCTCACAGTTTTGCTCCAGATAAAGCTCAAGTTGAAGTTATGAAATTAGAGTTGGTAAATTGATGTCGATTTCTTAATAATTGAATATTGATGGTCTGAAAATGGAGTACCATTTTGGTTTTGGGTTTTTTTTACTTAAATACTAACTACCATTTCATTTAAATAGGTCAGATGAGGATCTGTCTTGTCCTTACTTGGGTGACTTGGATAGTATACTTGAAGCAAATTTTGCTGTGAATTGGTCAGAACTCGTAACCGTAGATAAAACTCTGCTTTTGGCTATGTAAAATGTTATGCTAAGGTGGATAAATCAGGCTTTTGGTATGTGGCAAAGTGGACTGATTGAAACTCAGAAATACTTCTGACTTTTGTGCTGTGGATCCTCATCTGTTAAGGGGGATGAAGCAGTTAATTTTTCACACGGGTGTTGGTGTCACGCTCTTTCTTACTCAATGAGACATATAATAATAGGAGGGATTACTTTCGAGTAGCAGGTCTTGTTGAAGCAATGTGTGGTTACTAAATATAGCCAAAGGTAGAACCACAGAATGCTGGTTAAGGATTCTTAAAGCCCATGCACTTGCTAATGATTTGAGAGAAAAAACAGTGTTTGACTATATGGTTAAAACCAAGTTAAAACAAATAAGCACAAAATAGATTTAAATGGAAACATAGCCAATCTAATTTTGGTGTTTCCTTGTTTTGGTGTCTGACATCACCCATTTAGTATTCTTAAAATAGGTTACTTAAAGCATGAGTTCTTAATACATACATTGCAGTTCCCCCAACCTGAACTGCAGGCAGCATTGACATCTAACTTGAGTTACTGGTGGGGTTTTGAGTGCTGGAGACATGGTGCTCTTAAATATGCTACTGTATAATATTAGAAATAATTAAGTATAAATGTATGTGGTACCGGTAAGAACAAAGTGGCTGATGTTCTGCTGCTTTGAAACTGAGGAAGAACAGCATTTGAGATTTCAGGGGCATTGACAGCTGTAACAAAATATTGCATCATTTTGCACTGATGCTCTTTAAACCAGGGAACATATTATGGTTGCAGTACTCTTCTTTCCTTATTTGACTTTTACTTTTTTTAATGGTTGTGTGCGTACGTGTAAATTGACGGCTTCTGATATGTTTTGTTAAAACACTCCCTTTTCCCTCCCAGCTCTCTTCAATATTATCTGCTTATGGCATTTAGCAATGTCTGAAATTGTAATGAAACCATATCTTTGCTTTTCACTCCTCTTTTCTTAACTGTAATGCTGCCTGGACTAGTGATGTTTTATTTAATAGCTGCTTTTAAATTTGGTTTCTTTTAAGTGCATTAAAGATGTTTTATATATGTAATAAAATTTTTGTGTGGTCAGATCTAAATGGAAGTTCATAAAAGTTGTATTTCCTTGCCAATACTACAGAAAAAGTAGATTTTAGAATATTTTGTACTTCTTTATAGTTCCTGTAACACTAAAAAGTACTGAAAATGCATATTTTGTGCCATGGTGTTCAACTTAATGTGAAAAATTGACTTACATGATTCACTTTTAACTTGTTCCAGGCAGTATCCTTAAAGTGAATATGTAAGGGGAGAAGTGCCTCATGAACAATGGTTTCATAGAATGATGTAAATATAAGATAGCATGAATATAACCAGCTCATTAAAAAACAACATTGCCCTGGTGTAATTGTTTTTCACTTACTTGATTTCTAACTCTGTGTTTCTTACTACTTAGAAAATGAGAAGAAGTGTAAGCAGATCCTTCAGAAAGCTGTGGAGTACTCTGCTGTTCCACTAGAAATGTTGGAAACTGCTCTGCAAAACTTTCATTTGAAAAAAAAGCAGTTACTTTCAGATGAGGACAAGGAGAATTTAGCAGGTAACTGCAGTTTCTTAAAATATTAGTTGAGTTTATACCTATTGTAATATTAGATTGGAAAAAAATCTCTAGTGTTTTTCCCTTCCAGATAAGAACTCAGAATCTGCTATTGTCTAATAAACAGATATATTTATTTATCTTATCAATCTTACTCCATCAGTACTCTTTTTTTATCTTCAGTGCAGTGATAGTAGTTCACAGTGGCCATGGGATAGTGGGTTCTGTAATTCTGCAGAGGGTGTTCCTCTGACTGTCATTACATATTTGTAGTTTGTAATAGAGGCTTACAGCTGGAAGTGTGAAATAAGAGCTGCTCTTGGTAGAGAAGAAATAGAACTGAAGCATACAGACTAAACCATACAGATAGATTACTTGGAGGTGTATCTTCTGACACACTGAGGAAGTGCTGGTGGTCATTTCAGTGAAGTCAAATCTGGGAAAAATAATCCATTTCAACTTTATTTTACATATGGACAAAACCTATGTGTTTATCAGTACTAAAGTGCTTGGCTATATCGTAAAACATAACTGATCCTGATTGCTGGGTATATAATTCAATAAGGGAATAGTTATCTCTTGAAGTTTTCAGGAGATAAATTTGTTTGGAGTGGAATTGAGCAGAACACGTGGTTTGACTTAAATACTGAAGTGTGTGTAGCTAACTCTTCCAAGAGTGTTGTCAAACACTTCCATGTTTTTGCATTGTATAAGGACAGAATGTAATTTCCTTAGGGATATATTTTCACAAGTGTGGTTTGAGATTTGCCTGTCTCCTATTGAACTAACCTTTGAGTGAAATGCTAGTTGGGTACAGGGAGAAACTCAAACATTTAGGAACAGTTGTAATATTCAGATATAGTATTAGTTTTTAATCAATTTTATTTTCTGTCCTGTTCCAATTTAGCTGAGGGAATGCCTCTGAGAGAACACATGGCAAAACCCTGTGTGCCAATTAGGAAGCAGTGAACTTTGGGGCAAGTGTAGGCTTATTTAGTTTTTCACCTACATGAGCTTGTAACATTAGGTATTTTTGTAAAATGCTAAATCGTAGCTGAGTTATTTAGAGATAATATTCAATATATGTTTTATTTTCACAAAACCCATTAGTAATGTAAGCAGGAGTTTAATTGACACTTCCTTATAAGATTAATGTGCAACTTCATATAACTTTTGCCAGAACTTCAATAACCAAGCAAGATTTTCTACTGGATTAACATGGGCTGGTGAATGATCTGAATGCTTGATATTCCCTGACCTCACACAGCTCATAAGACCACTCTCAAATTTGCTATCAATGAAATCAACTGATTTAATTTAACCCAAATAATTGCTTAGAACAATTCAGTTGAGTTTACCTGATATGAATTAGGGATTATTCTCAAGTGTCTTAATCTGAATGATTCTAACTATTTTCCTTACAGTATCAAGCACACAGGAGTCTGGGCTTCAGAATATAGTTGGAAATCACAGAAGCATAAAAAGGAATGATTCTGGTGAAAATTCTTCTACTCTTAACAAACTGTTTTCTGGGTAATGTCTTGATTTCTTATTTAATTTCTTAAAACATAATTTAAACCAAAACCAAACAAGCACACTACAGTGTCGTTTGTTTGGTTTTGTGTTTATTTTTTGTGATTTTTTTTTTTTTTTCTTCAGGGAAGAAAAGTCCCAGGAACTTGGTGCTCTAGTTAATTATCACAATCCATTGAGACCACTAAACAAATCTAACCAGGTAGAACATGTAATGTTTTCTTAAAAATCTTCAACTCTTCGTTCTGCTTTACACACCTGATAGCATTCCATTTGCTCTTAGACTTGCCCATTTGGGAGGGTTCCTGTTCAACTACTGTGTGATGATGGTGATGATGTGGAGAATTCAGATGTCATCCCACTTACGGCTAGTGTTATGAAGAGGTATGGTTGTTTGGTTTACTACAGCACAACAGATTTTAATACTCCTTTTCAAGATTGGTTTATTGGTTAATGGAAATGTCAAATGCTAGGAAGGTTAAAATTGACCTGAAGATACTGGTCAAATAGTCATTGTAGTTGCAAGAGATATGGCAGTATAACCTACTTCTGATCTTACTACTCAGATTCCTTGTATGAAAGCATACAAAGATAAATTACTTGTTCCAACTAATCAGCAGGGTCAAAAGAAATGGAGATTCAGGCAAAAATAAATTTTGTCCAAAATATCTTCGTCTTTGCGTATTCCAGTTTTTAAAATTAGATAAAAGATAGTCTTATAACTTTCAAAATATTTTTAAATCCTCATTTTTAACAGACTTCTTTGTATTCTTTCTCACTTCTGTATTAGAGTAGACCCACTTTTCTGTATATTTGAAGCTTGTAGCCAAAAGTCTTCACACAACTACCTTTTTCATCTAGTTCACAAAAAGGCCATTGTATGCTGGCGTGTGTTGTAATTAACAATGTTACTTCAATAGGCAGACATCCAGCTCCAAATGTACCGCTTTTGTTGCACCTTTTCCACCATCAGAACCAAAATCTGATGGGTGTGATTCATATGACCTGGGAGACTTACAGGTAACTTAAATATCTTTAAAATATATATAAGGAACTCATTCTGGCTGTCCTATGGTATTAGAAAGAAAGATACAACAACACCTTTTTCAATTCAAGAAAGAAAGAAGGTATAACTTCCCTTTGTTGAGTAATCAGTAGTAGATAGAAACCTTCATTGTGGCTTTTAAATTTGAAAACTATTATGCCTAATCAGGCATTAAGAACTTTCTCTAAACAGTACCTCTGATGGGAGCAATAGGGGTAGTGTTAGAAATCATTATATGATTTGTGAAGAGGGGATAAGCAGATTTTAACTTGACTATGGGAACTCTTTCAGATGTTGTCAGGAGTTTTAGCATGAGAAGTACTCTATGTAATGAATTCCATTTAACTGAGTTTTTAAGTGCTTTATGGAGCTGTAAATTATGGCTTTTGATAGAGCTTAGTTTTCAGCTATAGCCTTGCATTTTCATGTCCCATATCCTCCTTTCCCAGAAGAAAATTCCAGAATAGAAAGCATTTGGGCCTTTATTACAGAAACTGGATTATGGAAATTCAGAGGGTTGATGTATTTCAAAGTAGCATCAGTAATACTTGTCTGTGTAACCTGCACTGTTTTCTGAAGCATATTTGAAGATGCTTTGTGGCGCATCTCTCATTTAATTACCATAAAAAAATGTCTTTTGGATACTGCTCTTGAGTTCTTTGATGCTTTTAAGATGCTTTTTATGTTCTTTAGTCCTTACAAGAAAAAACTTCCTTACAGTTGCAGCTGTTGAATGAGGACAGCTTAGAAACCGCTAACAATTCAACTGTAACCCTCAACCCCCAAGTGGATACCAGTCTTGTGAGGAAAAGAGAAGGTAACTATTAATGCGATGTGTGAGTAGTTTGAAATACAAGAAGCATTGAGAATATGCTGTCCTGTATTTTTAAAAAAAATTCTAAATAAAATTAATAAATAAATTGCTAAATAAAATGTTTTTCAAAAAGCAGAAGTTGATCTGATTGGAATTGGATTATTTAATTAAATTTTGGCTTTTTGCATTTTTTTGGGAAAAATATAACCCCAAAGCCCACAAAAATCCCAGCTGTGACACTGTCTAAAACTGGAGTGCTGGGCTTGATGTAAAATGCCAATGTATAGTGCTAATTCACTATGTCCTTACCTCTTGCAATACATATAAGAAATAGGCATCAAAATAGCAACAGTGCAATCTTAAGATTTGCCAGCCTGAGAGTGGTGTCAGGAGTGTCAAATTACAGTGCTAATTTATACTACCAAGAAAAAAATTAGAAAAATTCAAATGAAGTACTATAAAATCCTTGAAAGGTCTGTTTAGTTTTTAATTTTGGTGGGTTTTTTTGGAGACAGGTTTGCTTTTCCTATGACTTTTCTTGTGTATGCTCCTAGTTTACCCTGTAGATGCTATAGATCTAACTTGGTTTGTTGAAGCTTAATCTTGAGATGGTTTTGGCTAAAGTAAGCTTAAAAAGGTGAGACACTGTCTTTCACTTAAGAAGGTGCAAAACTCCTACAATTCTCTATGAATGCAGAATATCTGCACTATCTGTTGCTTTCAGCACTCTTCTTTTTGTCCTGTTTACCCATTAGATTGTGAAACTCTAGGTAGCTTTTTCTGCTGCTGTTTATGTATCGGAGACTATTTTCTTATTTTAGGATTGTTCATGTATTTGAGTTACTTATTTCTACTTTAGTCAGCCCTTTCTTGTGTTTTTCTTGGTTTCATCTGTTAAGTGTCTGTTGTCTTTGGTCAACTTCACTGCCCCATGCACATTTACTTATCAATTTTTAATTTATGTCACTTTGAGCATTAACTTGTGTAATACTGTGTTTTCCTCACCTGAGTTTCATCACAGCATAGGCATACATCTTAATCTTTGGGCTAAGTGTACATTAAATAATTTAATGTCATAGTTACTTTCTTATGAGGATTCTCAAAAGTATTAAAGCACTTTGTCAAAAGGCAAATTGCCCTTTTTTTCCTATATCCTGCAAAAAATCCTGAATTATTTTCACCTTTTTTTTTCCGTATACTCAGTGCAATCTAGTTTGTTAAATTATGTTGCAGGAGTCCATTTGTTTGAAAGAATGACACTTGTACTAAATAAATGTGTACTCTTTAGAGGCTTATTAAATTTCAGTGTCAATCAAATGTGCTATTAACATTTTTAATTACTGTAAATGCTTTTGCTTTAAACAGGTTGATTCAACCTTAACTGTATTATCATTTTTAGAATTTTAATCCTTTAAAGAAATCTAGGTTCTACTATCATTTGAATGACTGAGATATTTACTGCATTATTAACATACTTTTGGGGAATTATTTTAAAGTTCTTTTAAAAAGAGGCAGTTTGGTTTATTGAGGAAATTAACACTTCAGTAGATGTTGGGTTATCTAATGCATAGGTTTGGATTATTGTGTGAAGTCACCTTATGACATACAAATACGGTTGGCAAAGAGAGCACCTTACATTGTGATCTTTCTGGGAAATTTTATGACCAACTCAGATTTATAGCGAGTATTTCAGGGCTAGAAAAGTTCAGAAGGTTGCTACTAATGATTTTCCACCAGCACCATGCAATATGGAATGCTTGTACTGATCTTTTACAGTTACTTGCTACTTCAGTGTTTCATCAGAAATCTAGTTCCCTAAAGTGGCTTTCTGATCCTGCTGAAGAAATTAGGTGAAAATGTCTAATGTTGCAAGAGTTGGATTTAGGATTATGTATATGTATGTATGTATTATAGGAAAAAAAAGGATTTCATTTGAAAAATGGTGATTCCTCAACTTCAGTGTCCCCTCAACTTCCCATTGAAATATTTCTAGCTGACTTGGATTGGGAACAGTTTGGGGTTCAGGTCATACTTTCTCTGTTTGTACTTCATTCAAGCTTCCAGCTGAATTGCACTCAACTGCTCATCATGGGGTGCTGTTTTCTAGTCATTTGAAAATAAAACTGAACAAGCCTGTGAAGGGACACACTTAGACTGTGCTGTTTGCAGCCTGCCCTGTAATCTCCCACCAATGCAATGTCCTGTTACCTCTGCAAAAGGAATCCTGAGGTGGAGCATGCCACGTCCCTTTGGGCTTCTGGCTTCAGTCATTGCACTGTGTTATAGGCTGCCTATTGTCACAAGTAACAGACTTCTAACTGGAAATGTTGCAATAAGCTTATCTTCAGTGCTTTATAAACCTGCTCAGTGCTCCAGGATGTTGTGGTACAAATTGTTAACATAATCATATTCTGTGTGTTGGTGAAGGAAACAGTGGTATCTATTGCTGTCACAGTAGCATCCTAGGGTTTTGAAGAAAGTTGCCAGGTTTGTACACTGAACTGAATATGAATCCTGAAGATTATAATATTTTTTAATGTCTGATTCCAGTAAATCATCTGTTTATTCTGATCTAGAAAATGGGGTAAAATTGTTCTAGAAACTGTGGGATAAATCTGTTAGAATCTGTTTCAAGCATGAAATATCTAGTCTTTTTAATAATCTATTGTGTTTTTTTTTCCAGAAAATAAAGTTCAGTGTCAGGAGCAGAAAATACTAGAGTCCAAGAGACTGGAAAGTTTTGATAAAAGCTATAGAAAGCAGTTAGATCAGATTAAACTAAACTGTGTTAGCACCAGAAAAAAATGGCCAGTTCAAGAAGCATCAGAGAAAAGCTGCTATAGAGAGGTAAAGTAACAGGAATATGTAGTGCATGTAGCACCAGCCTTCACGTGTTGAAGAAATTAAAGAAATAAGAAATTAAAAGCTTGCTTTGTCCTTTGTAGAGAAAACCAATGAACCTTGAACAGTCTGGTCATCCCGTTTCAAAAGGATTATCACCACCAGATCCTGTTTCTAAGAGAAGTGATCCACCACATGGTCGGGGAACACCAAGCACCATGTCTAGTGACTATATGGCCTGGTAAGCCATGTCTCTGAGCTCCATGCTCATGAAGGGTAGGTGGTCTCTCGAAAGACTTAAGCAGGTTTTAATGGGGTTTCTTAAGTTTTTCTGTTCAGATAGCCAACATTCCATGTGCTTCTGTGAAGTGCCTGACTTTGAGATTCAGATCGTATTTAGGGACCTTTGCCTTCTCTGTCAGCTTCTCAGTATTTGTATGTACACCATCACATCCGTGAGTAGAGCATTTGCCTTTCTCTGACCCCTGCTATGTAATGCTTTCTTTTAGATGACTTTTTTTTTTGACTGACAAGCCTTCTAGCTTGATAGCTCTGTATCAGTCTAGTTCCCATGATGCAAGTGTCTGAGGGTTTTTAAAAATACTGTAAGGAATCTAGAGGCTTGCGGAATTAAGCACTTAAAAAAATGCTAGTATTTCCTAACTTATCTATGTGATCTTAAATTATGCATAAACCCCTATACCTATGTTGGCAAATCTTTATAATTATGTGATTACTTACTATTTTCATAAGTCTCTGGGATGAATCATTTAGGTCAAAGTTGTATGCTGAGTAAGCACTGTTCTTGTTGGTAGGACCTGTCTCTGTAGCTGTAGAATTTAGAGTATATGTAGGGAATGAAGTACATCATCTCATGAAGGAACTTGATAAAAGTAGCCCTTGAATAGATTGGTTTTGCTTCTTTCAAACTTTGATAATACAGAAATTTTAAAAATTCTCATTACATGCAGTATGTATACACATGGTAAATATGCAGAATGGCTGAGTGCTTCTGTGCTCAATGAGAACCATCCTTTTGACTGGTTTTGTCCTTTTTTTTTTTATTTTAACTTTTGGGATTTTACTCTACAAAAAAATTCTAGGCATATATGTTCTTTTCCAGTTCTGTTCTTGGCATCACTTTCAGTAAATACTGTGGGGAAAAATAAAGTATATTTGGTAATATAAGTAAATAGATGTTAGATACATCGAGGGAACAAATGAAAAACCCATAGGATTTCTTGTGATCTTTCATTTTCTTAAATACATAATCTTTCTGCTCACATGCAGTATGAGCTAAAGTTCTCAAGGAAATCATGTGAGGATTTTTGAAGTTGTCTGTCTCAATATGCTTACCTAAAAAAAAGGTAATCTAAAAAGGTTTTAAATAAACAACAGTATGCTGGAGAAAACTAAGTGTGGCTCAAACTGTCTTGTGGTCAGCTCTTCTAGCCTTAGAGTGCTTTCATGTTTCAGTTGCTGGGAAGTGCCAACTAGTGTCTGAAGATGGGGATTTAGTTAGTGTTTTAAAAAGTATTTTCTAAGTGTGTTATAGTTTCAGTTTACTTCTGAAGAACTTCTTGATTTAGAAGGTGATGTGGTCTTAATGCTAATTATTGAATGTAGTGGAGGCTTGTGCTCTTGCTAGTCAATAGGGTTTAACTTGCAAGAAGCACTGAAGATTTCAACTTTGTTGTTAAAATAATCTTTAAAAAATACAACTAAGTGCAGATATTGTTCATAATTTTCTTTAGTTTCAGCACACCAGTTGTAAAGAACAATTTTCTACCAGGAACTCAAATTTCTACTCCCTTCAGCCAGTTTCCTTTTTATGTACCACATACTCCATCAACTCCATTTCAAAATCAAGCTGGCTTGCAGGTAACAATTTTAGGCTGTCTTCTGTCATTTTTAAATACATATTTTCATTGGGGACTACTTTAGGTAAAATGTATGTATATATTTTTTTAATCTAAAATTACTACTTATCTTTCTGAATGTGTAATGGAAAGTAATCTGTATTACTTATTCTCAAAATAACTTTCTTCATGTGTATGTCTGAATCTAAATGAAATAAGTCAGCTCTTGAAAAATCAGTTCAGTTGTGTCAAAATCCTGAAGCCTTTATGTCTGCAGCCTAAGCCTTTTCAGATCCTACTTAATGACAGAGACAAGAACTAGAGTCTCTATTTTTGTTCTGCTGTGCTTTTGTAGTGCTACTACCCACTACAGTGCAGTACCAATAAAGAGAAGCAATGTGTGTTGAAAACCATGAGTCTGAGGGAGGTAAAAAACCCGAAGACTTGCATGTCTCCTCCATTTTGTTAGATTTCACAAATTTGGATGCATTTGTTGTGGCCTGAGATCATGTAAAAATGGGTTACCTTACATGTGCTGCACATTCAGGTAGGAATCTTCCCAGCTGTAGATAAAACTAGGGGATAGGTTTAAGCTTCCTACTGGAGGATAAGTATTAATAAATTAATAAACAAAACTTGAGACCTTTCTATGGCTTCGTATAGCAGATATGGGCAAGACAGGCTGTTTCAACTTCACAACACTGAAATCTCCTGGCTAGTAGTTACTTTCAAATAAAATAGTAGATGGTTTGAGTACAGCTCTCAATTTCATGCTGGAACTGAAAGTCTCTTAGATAATCTAGTTTCTGACAATATATGTGAAGAGGGAGGTGTCTCTAATGGTCTGGGAAGCCTTGTTAAAGAACACCCTTTCCTTGATTTCTGTTGTGAAGAGCATTGGTATCTTTTGCAAGAGTTCAGTGGTGTTACGTTCCAAGTGATGATCATTATATAAATACTTTTGTTTTAGGGATCTTTTAGCTTTCATTTAAAGTCTAGCTTTACTGCTGGCAAGCAGTTTTATCCTGTTCAGAAAGACCAAGACAATTTGAAGCATTTTAACTTAATAAACAATAGAACCTCTACTTTCTGTTGCATGTATACCAATAGTTATTTCTAACCTTTTCTGTATGTACACAGGTTCCAGCTTCTTTACCTTCGCATGAATGTCTTACCATCAAAGGAAAAGTTTATACAGTATTAAAGCAAATAGGTAGTGGAGGCTCAAGTAAGGTAAGATGCTCCTTTAGCCTTTTAGGCAATCACTCGTTGACACAGTAGTAGTTGTATTGTAAACTCACATGAGTGCATAGTACTAACATGTACAAAGTGTTTGACCCAGAGAGTCTAGAAATTTGCTGTTTTATTTAGACTTTTTGCTTTTGAAGATAATTTCTATGGTAGAGTGAGCTTTAAAATTCCTAATAAAATCAGCTCTTCTGTTGTAAGATGTGCTGTAAGATTATATATGTCCTAATGTGAGGGGCTGTAATTCAGGGCGATGTGTTAACATGGTTGGGAAATGAGTGACTTGTAAGGTTGATTGAGAGTTCCTGAAGTGAAAAGATCGTCTCTCACCACTTGTGTAACTTGTGTGAGAAGCAGAGTTGTAGCTATGTCTGAAGTGGTGAGTGAGCAGCTTTTTATAAGGAAATTTGGGCTCATGGGAGCTTGGGAAATAATTTTGCCAAAATCTCTTGGTTTTGTTACAATTCTTTATTTTCTTAACAACATAAGCAGTTTTGCTGTGGAGGACTGTGTCCAAGGCTTTACAGAAGTCTGGATAGATGACATCTGTAGCTCTTCCCAAGTCCACTGATGTAGTCCTTCTGTTACAGAAGGCCACTGAGTTGGTCAGGCAGGACTTGCCCTTGGTAAAGCTGTGCTGCCTCTTTCAAATCACCTCCCTGTCCTCCATGTGCCTTTGCAGAGCTTCTGGGAGGATCTGTTCCAAAGGCATCAAATTAGTTAGAGATCTTTCCCTCTGTGAACCCATGTTAACTGTACCTGATCATTGCATCGTCCTTTAAATGCCTTTAAGTCGTACCCAGGATGAAATTCTCTGTAACTTTTCCAGAAACTGAAGTTAGGCTAACAGGTCTGTAGTTTCCTGGGTCTTCCCTCATGCCCTTCTTGTAAATTGGAATACTATTAGCCAGTCAGCAGGGACCTCTAGAAAGAAGAGCTTTCTGTGTTGGCAGTGTACAGTTGTAGAATGGGGTAGGATGGCAGGGGCCTTTGTGTGTCACTTCGTCTAATAGTCTACTTAAAGCAAGGCCAAAATAGAGCAGGCTGCTCATCTCACAACCTTTGTTGGACCTCATGGTTTTGCATTTAAGTTTTGAGTATTGCTTAGGATGAAGATTCCACAACCTTTCTGGACAAGCTGTTTTCCTGTTGGACTACATGGCAGTGAAAAAAATTTCCAGATATTTAATTGTAATTTTTCTTGTTAGCTATGTCTGTTGCATCTCGTACTTCAATGATTCCTGAGGAGTCTTTTTCATACCTTCCCTTTAAGTAGCTGAAGACAACAGTAAGATTCCTTGTACCCTTCTCATCCTAAGACTGAACAGATTTGGTGCTCACAGCCTCTTATGTACCATGTGGTCTAACCTGTAAATGATCTTGGTACGACAAAATGAATGTGCACTGGCAGATCAAACCTGTATCTCTGGGAAGTGTAATTTTGTAATCTTCATGTTAGGAACACTTCAGACTTGTGATGTACTACACCTAGTGAAATACAGTGTGGCACCAAGATGGTTTCTGGTAGAGGATTGTTTCTTTTTTAAGTGGTGCCTTCTTTATTGATTTTTTTTTTTCCTTCTTCCTGCTGACTTGTGTGAACTGCTTTGCATTGCTTCTTCCTTTTGAAAAGGTACACTTTTTCTTTTGATATTCTGACTGTGCTGAGATGAAGGACCATAGTAAATCAGAACTAGGAATGTGTGAAGTTATTAACTGATGCTGTTTTGCAGGTGTTTCAAGTACTGAATGACAAGAAGCAGCTGTATGCTGTCAAATATGTGAATTTAGAGGAAGCTGATCAACAGACTGTTCAGAGCTATAAGAATGAAATTGCTCATTTGAGTAAACTGCAGCAGCATAGTGATAAAATCATTCGCCTTTATGGCTAGTGAGTAAACACTAGTTTTATCTAACCAGTGCCTTTCTATAAAAAGATATTTCCTTAACTTTTAACATAAATATATATATTTATTTTTAGTGAAATTACTGATCAACATATCTACATGGTAATGGAGTGTGGAAATATCGATCTCAATAGCTGGCTTAAGAAGAAAAAAAACATTGATCCATTGGAACGAAAGAGCTATTGGAAAAATATGCTGGAAGCTGTTCACACAATCCATGAATATGGTATTCTTAAATAATTCTCGGTATTTGTATAGCTTATGTGGCAGAAAATATGAATATGTTCTAATTTTGGAGGTGGTATTGTTCTTAATATTGGTATAAAGTTAACGATGTTCAAAGATGGGTATTTACTGTATTGTGGAAAAAAAAATTCAGTGAAACAAAAGACAGAGGTAAATCTTGATGCCAGGCAGACTTCACTAACTCAAGGGGGATCTACAAATAACACCATTTGTGTAATGCTTTTTGTTTCCTTACAACAACCAGAAAATATCTTCTGTATTGTACTACAGTGTATACTCCAAATTCTACTTGTTCTCCATTAGATTCAAATTCTAGCCACTCATTCTATCCAAAAGAAGCTTTGACATTAATGGCAGCTAATATGCAGCACTGTCATCTTTACTTTGACAGTGTGTCAGCTTCTTCTTAGTTTTTCAGTCCTTCCTTTCATCTTTGCCTATGTCATTGAAGTGTATACATCCATATTCTGTTTGGCTGTATAACATAAAGGAGAGGGCAGATTTGGATCCTTTTCCTATTTAAGGAAAGAGTGAAGACTAGTGCATATAGCAGAGATCATCACTTCTTTTCAGCACTAGAACATTCAGTGATGTGGCAAACAGCAAAACCTACTAAAATTCAGGCTACATACATACATGTGATGTCTTTGAAACAAATAGTTTTGTAAAATATCAGAATGGATTGGTTAATTATGTAGATAACCAAAATTCTTAAGTCATATAAGTCAGTCATTTGAGAAGTCAGTCACGTGTACTCCTCAGTGAATGGTTAGACTAAGCAATAATATTCTTTTATTTTAAGTACCTGCTTAGCTAATTATTTGAGAGAAAGCTACAGGCCACTGAATTGCTCCAGAGCAGAATTTCTGTGCAGCAGCGTGCACACAGAACTGGAGGGCCTGTCCTGAACTAAAGGAAACTGCAACTCAAATCTCTTGGAGCTGTTTTGGAGTTCCTGCAGATTTGAATAAGTAATAATTAAAAGTGTAAACTCATAGAAGTCGTAACTGTTTAAAAAGAAATGGAAGCATTTTAAGGAATCTGCAGAGAATAATTTGGTTTTGGCTGGTTAAAGCTGTTTTGCACCTTCTCTCTGTGCAAGAGTTATGGGAATTCAGAATAGAAAACACCATTATATATCTTGGATTGACTAAACCTGGATTTACTTTAAATTTTTTTTACAGGCATTATTCACAGTGATCTGAAACCAGCAAACTTTCTGATAGTTGATGGAATGTTAAAACTAATTGACTTTGGCATTGCCAACCAAATGCAGCCAGATGTGACAAGCATCGTTAAAGATTCTCAGGTGAAATACTTTTGGAAAATCCACGTGCACTTTTCTGTAAAGTGCTATAGTACCTGCTGATAATTTTGATTATTGTAATAACTTCAATTAATATTGAAATTTTACGCTGAATGGTTTTATATGTCTATATAAATATTCATGTATATGGATTTTTACATGTTTTTATTGAACAGAATAACAATGGCCTTCAGCTGTAATAGAAACAAATTTTTAAAATGCTCTTCAGTGTTTTGGGACAAAACTCTAAGTTTTTATTAAGTGAGTTCAATTTAATGCGTGCTTCACTTAAAGGAATGGTTTTACCTTTTTATGACTAGGTTGGGACAATGAATTATATGCCACCCGAAGCAATAAAAGATATGTCTTCCTATGGAGAAAATGGGAAGTCTCGTTCTAAGGTAACATGGTCTTTTTTATCCTATTCCCTCCATGTTAAGAAGAAAGTAATTCAGTAATGTATCTTAACACTTAGTTTTCTCAAAATCTTCCATTGAAACTTGAACACAAGAAAATTCTTTGTGCTGTGATGATGGTGGGCAGAGATTGAAGGCTAAGGTTAATCTCCCTAACTACTTTACATTTTGCAGATAGAGTTTAGAAAAATATAAGTACTCAATGAATAAGTAAAATTGAAAGTAAAACAGATGCACAGTCTTGGGCATTAGAGGAGCTAATAATAAAATGATAATATCTAAACTGATAATAAACACAAATATTTTAAGATCAATTTTTATGGAGAAATATAAGAGTTCCACTATGTTATCAGTGTGAATAGCATCAAACAGTAATATACGGTGAAATACGTGAGCCTTTCACATACCAGAGGTTGTACTGATGACTTATGTTACAAATGTCTTTTGAGCATCTTAAGGGCCCACCATGCTGTGCACCTCTGAAATCACTCCAGGCTAGAGTTTTCAGGGTGTGTTTCTGGGAGGATCTTCCATGGAGTCACATGAGAGAATCAGTCCTCAATTACTTCTTGGTTGCCTGTTGTGCTGCTTATGTCCTTTTGTTTTAGCTTTGTTCTGCCGAGAATTGTGAAGCTCTTATGGTACTGTTTGCTGCTACACAGCTACATTTCAGCATTCTGCATCAATAACCTTGGCTTAGAAAATTCTTTCTGAAAGCAAGAAAATTTTCTTTCTGATACAGACCATTGTTAGTATGTTTGCTTAAACAAGTTATGATGATGCTTGTGTCATCGTCATATTTTTTAGTTCTTTTGAGTGAGGGGCAGGTCTTGCAAGTAGTGAATAATACCTAATAAAGTCTTTCAAAAGATGATACAATGAAGTCTAGTATTTTAGGGCCACACATACAAGTTCTGTGTATCCTATGAATTTTTCTATGCTACAGAATACTGTGAATTGTAGAAATTTTTATAACATGACCAGGGCAATGGAATGTGAATGATGAGGAAAGTACTAAAGGGAAGCATTTTTACGCTGGCAGTCAAACTTCAGTTAAGGGGTACACAGTTAAGTGAAAAAGTATTTAAAAAAAAGAAATCCATATGTATGTGCATGTACACAAAGACTAACTTTTTTTAACAGTTGAATGGAAGTTGTATTACATAGTGAAATGCAATCTTGTCTTTCTAAACACAGGATAGAATATCTTATAAGTGGATTTTCTTTAAGAATGATACTTTTTACCTTCTTTACCCTTTTAAAAATTGCATGCAAAGTGCAGGCTTGTTCTGGAGCTCAGCTCATCTAAGCAAAAATGTAACCACTGTACTGGGAGTCAGGTTCTCTGTGGTTTCCCCATGTCCTTCCTCTCCCCCACTCTGTGTGCTTTTCTTAAAGTACTTCAGCTTCAACAGGAGAAGTGGAGAGTCGTCCTGCAAAGAACATCCGGGGTGTGGTGGTTGAAATATGGATCTGAATCCTTGAAACCCCAAGGAACTGAACTGTGGCTTTCAACTTTAGGGACATAGCTGTGGTGTCTCACTGTTTTCTGGATTGAATTAATTTAGTATGCTTTTACTTGTGTTTATTTATAAATCGAAAATTAAAATTCTGCTGCTCAGCTTGTTAAGGACTAACTTTAATTTTATTTTAAGTTAGTTCTTCAAGTAAGTTGATTTTCAAAAATAATAAGAATAGCTTTCTTATGGAATATCAGTGAATGATGCCACATCACTGTCTTAGTAGATAATGGCATGCTGCCTTGGCGATTTTGTGTGATAGTTACTAAGATGTGTTATCCAATGGAAAGTGGATATGCTGTTAAATGAAATGACTGTACAATTACATGATAAATTGACTGAAGGAGCAGTTTCTTAAGTGAGAAGTAATCTTTAATTTTTTTTTTTTAATATTAGATAAGTCCCAAAAGTGATGTGTGGTCATTGGGATGCATTTTGTACTGTATGACGTACGGAAGGACTCCGTTTCAACACATAACAAGTCCAATAAATAAACTACATGCTATTGTTGATCCCAGTTATGAAATAGAATTCCCAGATATTCCTGAGAAGGATCTTCAAGATGTGCTAAAGGTAACTTTCCCTTAAGGTTAATTTTAATTTAAATAATGGCAATTTCTTTATTTAAAGCGTATTTTCTAAAACTAAATGAGTTGTGCTTGAGAGACTTTTTTCACAAATAAATGCTCACTGATACTTGTAGTAACAGATCTTATTCCAAAAGAAGATTTAATGAAGCTAGAATTACTTCATATACTTTCCATATTAAAGTCTATTTTCAGCTTAATACTAAATAAATACTTAAAGTGGTCTGACTTAACTCCTTTGGCTCCAAGTAAACACAGTAGTTTTTGTACTTGCTATCCCTTTCCCTCACCCTGCATATTTGCCTGCTTTTTGCATATTTGTTTGTGCTTTTGCTCGCCCTATTTGTGTTGCTCAGCAGGTAACAAATTAAAATCCAGAAACACTTATCCCCTTAACTTTCAAATTTCATTGTCATTTTGTATAGTTTGGCAGTAAGAAGTTTTGACATGCATCTATGGGGTCTTTTAAATGTCCTGACTGTTAATTTGTAGGAAAATTCTTAATTTATAGGTAAAGCATTCTTCCTCTTTTTTTCATTTCCAGCGCTGTTTAATAAGAAATCCTAAACAAAGAATATCTGTTTCGGAGTTGCTGGTGCATCCCTATGTTCAAATTCAAAGTCATTGTCAAACAGGTACATTTATTTGAAAATGCATTTTATTGAATAATATTTATATCTGCTTAAAAAAGGCTTTACTTGTATATGTACTTTACACTTGTTGTCATAACTCAATTTTATGTGGTGCCTATGTCTGCTTCAGAAAAGACTTCAGTATATTAGTTCTTAAGCCTCTTAAAAAGTGCACTGGTAATGTATACAACTTCAACATAATTATAAATTAACTGCAGATGTCCCGAGTGCAAAAGGAACAACAGAGGAAATGAAACGCATCCTTGGCCAGCTTGTTGGCTTGAATTCTCCCAACTCTATTTCTAGAGCTGCAAGGGTAAGTAAATTTTCTATTTTTTTTTTCTTTAATATGAGGGTGAACAAATAATTATCCTTTTAACAATATCGTGATGTTTGTGGCCACTGATTTTCATATCATATAAAGCCTGCCCACCCTGAGTAGACAAATACCTCTCTCCTTCCATGCTGGTGTTTCCATATCAGAGACAAGTAATCGAGTAAACTTGATTTTAAATCTCTGCAACTGGTTGGTTCTCTGCTGACTTGTGAAGCTCTATAACTTTGCTCACACTGCTAATTCAGCACATCTGTCTTCTCTTAGGCACTATTTTGCATTACAACTGGTACAACTGAGCTGTCTTAAAACTGTATTTTTATTTTCTGGAGAAATTCTGGTGTGGAATACCTTAGTATGTGATTTATGGCAATGTTTGTTATGTGGTTTAAATCCATGTGCAATCCATGTTCACCTGAATAATTTGTGTGTTTGTTGACTTTCAGACTTTATATGAACAGTGCAACAGTGGTAAAAGTCTTGATGTATCAGCGTTTGCGGAACTTGGCAGTCAAAAAACACGGACAACAAAATGATGTCCTACAGTTCAGGATGCAACACATGTTTGGTCTGTTCGATAAGTATTTTGTGCTGCTAGCTTTTAAAGGACACTCAGCATGAAGTTTGCCTTTTTATATGTTCCTTGTGTTCTTTTGATAATACTTGCAGGTCATTAAAAAGAATAAAATTGAATGATTTTCACCATGGATTCTTTCACTCCTTGAATACTACTTGGGTTGAACAAAGACAATGGCTACTTGGTGATTATAGTCTTACTTACAAAGCACTACAGTGTCTGGAGTACAAAAACTTGTATAAGAGTCTGAGTTCTCTTATCCCTCTGAAGCTAAAATTAAAAAAATTCCAAAAATGCCAATTGATGTACACAAAAAACATGTAAATATCTCTTGAGATCTCCTATGGCATGAACAGAGTGTTATGCTTTTCTGTCCTTTGCCAGGAAATACCTCGTGTCCAGTTTTGACTATAACTAAGGAAATAAGCACTCTGTATAAGCCATCAGTTATAATACTAAGAGAGGCATTAATGATAGATATAAATGTCACCCAGTTTTTGAGCTGTTCCTGTGGTTAGGTGGTATGATGGAAGCATCAGTGCTGTTATGAATTTATATGAATAAAATGGCTTTTGTTCTATTAAAAATGCTACTATAAATCTACTATGCTTTTCCAATTCCAAAATATTAGAAAACCCTTCAAGATTTATGATGGTCAGAAATCACTAATTTGGATTTTTAAAAGCTTTAATACTAACCACACTCTAAATTGCACTGAATGTAGCAGAACTGTTTTTTACTGTGATTCTTATTGGATTCTTTGAGGTTTGTTTTAACTCATTTACAGCTGATGAAAATGTATGAATTTTAGATTTATTTAGATAATTGAAAGATGTTAAAATAATGACCAATAATTTTAAATTGGAACAATAACTTCAGTTTCATGGCAGTTGCCATGTTGTCCCAAACACTGGAGTGCAAGTCAAGTGCCTGGAGATTCTTTCTGACTCTGTGGTGGAGGTGGATGCTCATAGCAGTTCCACCATCCATAGGCTGCCTGGCAGGTCAGTTGTCTGGGGCTGGGAGAGAATCATCATTCTTGCTGCCGGAATTTTACTTTAGCCAAGACATTTTGCTCCCTTGGGAAGATATGGCTGGAGTTCAGAGAATTCTAATAATCTACTTTGAGCATTGTAAAATACCGAGTGGTAGTTTGATATTCTAAGGATAGGGGTATTGTTCTTGAGAACTTTTGGGTTGACCCTATAAAAGGGGAACTGCTACAGCCATTGCCATGTGTATTAGCAGGGCTGAGAACTTTGTTCTCTTTGTCTGGGTAAGATTATCTTATAGGAATAGGCATATTTTGCTGCGTGCTCTCTTCTGCTTGCCATTAGTGTTTATGGGGAATCACTGTTGTCAACATCTGTTAAATGAAATGCGTTACTTTTTATACTGGAATGCAGCTCTTCCTGCAGTAGTCCAGATACAGAATGGCAGCTGTGCTTTGCATGATTCTTCAGCTCACAGCATAACCATTTTCCATGCTTGCATACTGAGCAGTAATAGTTTATTAGTATCACTCAGAGCCCTATCACAATGTCTAGATCTGGAGCAAAGAACAGAGATATTTACAATTCACTACCTGGACAGCAATACTGGAGGAAAGACTTTATTTCAGTGTGTTCTTGCTATCTTTCCTGCCACTGATTTAACACTGCTGGATGATTTTATGGCCTGTAAGAACTGAAGAATGAAGGAGAAGAACATGAGAGAGAGCACAACATGAAACTCATAAGAATTGTATTTTTTCCCCCAAACTTTAGTAGCTTTGCTTTTCAAATGAGGTTTTCGGAGCTTGCTAATATAATAAAAGCACTGCTTGATAGAAGGGAAACTTTGTTCTTAATTATTTCATATTGAAAACAGCACAACTATATATTTGAAGAAGTAGCTTTTAAAAAAGTCTTTAATGAAGAATTGTATATCTGTAATTTTATCAGACCTCAGCTTAACGTGTGTTTCAAAACTCTATGCCCTCACCTTTATAGGCCAGTTAGGCCTATCCTCCTATGATGGAGCAAATGCTTGTAAAAGAGCTTTATTCTTTGTTCCTGTGTCTGTTCAGCACCTGCCCTCCTTTGTTTCAGGTTAAGAGTGATTTTCCACTTTACACAGACAATATGATAAGGGGTGGGAATTATTCCCGGTAGCAGGCTGGTCTGGGAGGAGGGCTGAAGCAGGGGACGCCAGAGAATGTGTGCTCACCCCAGTGTTGGAGCACAGGCAGGAACAGCACATCTCCCTTGGAAGGGCAAACTTGGAATGATAAACTTGACTTTGTTGTTGATCTCATTGTCACTATATGAAACAGAGTGTGGAATCTCAATTAGTCATCTGTTGGGGTAGAAGATAATTATCCCATATTTCTAAGGAAAAAGAATTTTTCCCTTTAATGGTCTTGTTCTTTCTGAATTTTTTTTTTTTAATCCCAGACTTTAATGCATAATGAATACAAATGCTAGTGGTACTCCAGTTGTCTGTTTAGTATTTATATAAGTTCTCAAGCTTGCAGCTAATGAGAAAAAATGTTATTGTTCTACACATTTCATTCTAAACTGTTTGGGAGACTACTTACGGTGTGGGAACTGAAACACTATTTCTGGCATTCTCAGGAGAGGAGGGAGAGTATCAGTCTCTTCAGGGAAAACTCTGTGAAGAAAATCTTTACAGAAACATCTTTTCAAGGAGTCATTATTGAAATGTTTCCCAACTACTTGTCTAGATTACAGATCTTGAAAAATTTCTGCATAATTATGCTAATGTTGTAATTGTTATCTTTTGCCGGTTTTGCTTCTCTTGTTTGTGTTGAATATTGAGAAGCAGTGCTGCATGCCTTATTTTTCTGTTGTACTGTATGGTTTATCAAACCTTTCTTTTATTGCATGACTGCTAAAGAACCCACAGGAAATAAAACTGATGTGAGAAGGAGCTTATGAAAGAGGCCTCGGGCTGATGAGAGGCAGTGGGTTGTTATCAGTCATCCCTTTTAAATAAGTTTCTTCCATTGCAAATGAGTAATTGATTTATACTTCTTCCCCACATCAGTGGTACGCTACAAGATGTCTGTCTACGTTGGCAGCTGCCACTTACCAGTCTTCAATCTATTCCAGGGTTTTTTTCTGCTTTACAAACGTCCATCTCCCTTCTCAGATTCTCCTGGATCTGAAAAGCGTAAGGGAAGTACAGAATAGCTATGTGTGATTAGCTTTAAAGAACAGAAAATACCAGAACTGCCATCTTAAATGTCAAGTAACAGGTAGCTATCTGAAGCTTTCTCAAGGTTACAAAATACCCGTTGTGTATTACTGTCACCCTCAAGGCCATGTTTCAGGACATTTTGCGTGTATAAAATGGGAGGGAAGATGGCTGACTAAACTAGAGTATATATCTCTCTCTCTAAAATACTGTATCAGCTAATATTGAGTTACCACAGCTACATGAAGAGTAGAAAAGTAAATTCAGCTGACACTAAAAAAACCTAACTGCAGAAGGGTGACTTGCTTTTTTATTTATGGATGGGTATAGCATAACTCAGTCTCCAGCTTCCTCATGAAGGGAAGAGGAGGGGAAGGCACTGATCCCTTCTCTCTCGTGACCAGTGACAGGACCTGAGGACATAGCCTCAAGCTGGGTCAGGGGAGGTTTAGGTTGGATATTAGGATAAGGTTCTTCACCCAGAGGGTGGTTGAGTGCTGGAACAGGCTCCCCAGGGAAGCAGTCCTGGCACCAAGCCTGAGTTCAGGTTGCATTTGGGCAAAGTTCTCAGGCACATGGTGATTCTTGGAATGGTCTGTGCAGGGCCAGGAGTTGGATTTTGATCCTTGTTGGTCCCTTCCAACACAGGACATTGTATGATTCCGTGATTCTGTGATTCAGCCTGACCAGCTGTATGATTAGTTGGAATTCAAACACTAAATGGAGTTCAAGTTTTGAAGGCTCTGCTCTTGTAGCCTGTCTTGGTGTGACAACACCCAGAATTGAGTTCTTGACAAATATAAGAAAGGGAGGCTGCTTGCTTGCTGCCTCTTCCAGGACACTTGACCAAGGAGCAAGACAAATCTATGCACAAATCTATCCTCATGGTGCTGGAGGAGTCAGACTCCTGCTTTATCTAGCCTTGGGGAAGGAACTCTAAGGTCCTACTGCCGAACATGTGGCTAGGCGGGAAGGAAATGGTTAAATCCCAAACAATCGAAAGTGCAGAGCAGTGTATGAGTTAGTCTGAAGGAAAGTGGTCAAATTGTTGCTCTGTTTTGGTCACTCCTGTGTGTTTCTGTTCTTTCTTTAAGCTCCTGATATAAACAGCTGATTCTGGGAATGGTGATAAGTATCAAATTAAAAAATAAATAGTTGAAGTAAACTTGAGTTCTAGTACACCCCTAGAAGTCTAACTTACTCCTGAGCTCCTCAGCAAGGGTCACTGGCTAATCCTGGCAGATGCCAGTTATGGCAACTAAGTACTAAAAACTGCTTGCTTCTCCCTTCTGGTTGTCTATGCTCTTATTGCCTTGCTGGTCCCTCAGTTTTGTGTGAGTTCTGAGCAGCAAGGATAAAACAAATACTACTTTATCATATTTCTCTCTTTGACACTCTTATGGTTAAGACACATCCTGTTTCAGCTAATAGAGAAGTATTCTCTTCTTGCTGGATGCATGTATCTCCTCCCAGTTTGGTTATCTGTACCCACCTGCCAAGAACATGAAGCTTTGTCAGGGAGCTGGTATAGTGTGCCCTTGTTTGCTTGCTGCTTCACATAAAGTAATTAAGAGAGAAATCTTGCAAGATAAAGGCCATAAAGAATGGAGCAGGCAATGCAGTGTGATTTACTCATAGGAGATAGAGGTGTACACCTGTATGGGCACAGAAGGAGTCTTTGTACAGCCTACCCATACACTTTCATGGGAGTTGCTGAAATGAAACCTGAGATAAAAATCTGACTTCTCACCTCAATTCCTCCCTTTGGCAAGTAGAATATCCACAGCTAAACGTGATGCAATTCCAACATGCTGGCTCTAATCAGATGAGTTGCTAAAATCCAAGCAGCTTTTGCAATGAAAGATATGACTAATTTAATGTGGAATAGTGGTACTACTATTCTGAACCCTGAATAAACACAAGGAATAGGTC